CGAGCTAACCTGCCGTAAAGAGGTTTCTGGCTGTTGCGCAGCTGCGCACCTCCTGGCACATGAACCGGATTGTTATTGTGATCGTAAATGCCTGCAACTTCAGCAGCCCGAATGCATTCAACACCAATCTTCTCCAATTCGTTCGTTGCATTAGTATTTGGCGCTTGTAACGCCACCAGAAAGACAACTTCTCCTGGCCTCAGGGCTTCCCATTCTTTCTGAATATCCTCGTTTACTCTGTCTAGCTCCAAATACAACTCAGCACGAACAAATGCTGGATGTGACTCTCCAACCCTTGCAGGTGCGGTCTCTAAAATTGCCGGTCTCGAGATTCTCTGTGCCATACGACTAAAGCCGGCCAGCTTGAGCTCCCGAGACGAGGAATGAAGCTTGAGCCGTTCAATTATTGACTCTATGTCACATTTAATTTCGAAGAAAGACTCCAGACGATAAAGTTCAAAAGCTCGGTAAAGGAAATCACTGGTTGATAGATATTGAAGGTTAAATCGAGGTATGGGGAGCGGCTTAAGTGCGTCAAAGTTCGAGGTCTGTTGCAGAATATTACTGGACAGTGATTTCTAGGCATTTGTTAGCTACAGACGTTGGGATGTTAATGGGAAAAGCATTATACTCACTTCTGTGGGCAGTGAATGGAGTGCTTCGCACTTCTCTTCCAAACTCGGCCGTCTCACAAACTTATACGCAAGAAGTTCAATCTTGAACTGCCTATCAGTCGCAATTCCAGGCACAGAATACTCTGTCGCCACACCCATATGTTCGCATAAGCTTCTCAGCTCGTCATCTGTCAGAGACTCTAAACTCTCGAGCAAGTCTTCGCGCTTGCTAACTGATCCGTAATTTGCCAGTGCCAAAACGAGTAATTTCTCTTTGAAATGATCTAACGCAATCTTTTGAAATCGGAGTACTTGCTTCGAGTTTTGTGTCTGAAGCTCTTCCTTGGAAACAAACACTCCGGTAAGATCATCGATTGGAAAATTCAGATACTGATCCAAAATCTCGTGAAGTTGCCGTAAGAGGATGTTCTTCTCATTCTTATATGCTGGTGATAATTTGATTGCAACACATAAATTTAGGTCCTTCAACAACGTATTAGAGAATCTTCGAGTCGGAAGCTGCGAGATGATATCAATCAACAGTTCCAATACACGCTCGGTGTAGGCAATGACTGGCGCATTTGAATCATTCCCTGGGACATATATGAGCCGCAGTAAATCCAGTACAACGGAATAGAGCCATCTTCGCTCGAGACGTAATCGAACCTTTTGGACGTCATCTGCCTTGTCAAACTTCTTCGTTGCCACGCGCCACGACTTTTTCAGTCCTGTACTGTTACTGAGAAGAGCCTCGCGCGTTGACGTGGAATGCAGGGAGTTCCAAATCGATATGGACACCAACGGTGCACACTCATGGCGAATCAATGAAGAGTCAAGGGATTGAAATGCAGCTTCGATAAAGGATATTAGATATGTGCGCGTTTGTAACGGAGTAGAGTCCGTTGACGAGATAGTGAGCACTCGTTGGAAGAAATTACTAAATAGTTCATCGTCCTTGGCGAATAGATTCCAATCCAGCGTATTGTCCCGCTGCTTCACTACCGCAGCAATTGCCACTAATATGGTATGGTCATCTTTAGCGTCGTATGTCCAGCTTGGCCAAAGGAACCTGGAGGATCATATTTCATTAGCCACCATCGTCAGTCCAAATAACAACAGATGATCCTAAACCAACTCACTTTTCCAGATACAGTAGATAATCCAGAATCAATAGACTGTGTCCATTAAATCCTTCCTTCTCCAGCTGAACGAATAATCCTGAAACAACAGCGTCAGAGCCTTCGACTGGCTGTGCTTGATCCGATGACCAAGTCGCAGCAGCGAGGTCAAAGAAGTTGGAGCCGTAGATCTCCGCAACCGTGGGGGAGCTTGTCGCCGCCATCATATAGGCTTGAACGTGGAGTCTGGGGGATCTTTTGATCAAATGATATTAGCACCGGCCTCGAATCTATAATATTTGAAGTTCCGACCTGCTGTAACCATCGTAAGGGAAATTTGCGTTTGGGTTAGGGCTTAAATGATTAACTCAATCGACGTTAACAGTCGCCGAAGAAAAATTAACTCCAAAGACTCAACTTCCAGCACACTAAAAACTCTGCCGGCATTTTAGATCGGACAAGAAGATCTACGAAAAATTGAAGATAAGGATCACTGTAGATCCTTTTTTTGTATTGATTGAATATTCTACATTTGAGAATGAGTAGAGGACGTGGAGGTGGAGGTGGTCGCGGTGGATATAGAGGTAAGAATTTTTTAAAGAGCGAGACTTCGTCACAATAACGACTGGGCGCGGGTGTATACATTGGCTCAAGTCGGGTTCATGTCTCTTTTATTCTTTTGTGTGTTATACTGTAAGAGTATGTCGGTGCTAACAGATGTTTAATTCAGGAGGCAGGACAGGGCCACCGCTTCCAACTGGGCCGCCAGACTCAGTATTAGGTATGTTAAAACTGTTCTTTGAAACTTGGCAGTTGGTGAAGTAGCTCTGTGCTTACATTATTTCAAATCAGAAATGGGAACGTTTATGCATGCATGCGAGGGAGAAATTATGTGCCTGTCTGTTAATACCAAGGTTCCCTACTTCAATGCGCCTATATATTTAGAGAACAAGACCGTGATCGGCAAGGTTGACGAAATCCTTGGACCTATTAATGAGGTGTTTTTCACTATAAAACCACAGGAGGGAATTGTGGCCACATCGTTCAAGCCCGGTGATAAATTTTACATTGGACCCGATAAATTGCTACCTTTGGAACGGTAAGAAACAATATTGGGTAAAGAAGGACAGCCGCTAATTTGCATAGATTTCTCCCTAAACCTAAGGGCCCACCAGGTCCAAAGCAACCAAGGGCTAGGGGCGGTCGCGGTGGTCCTGTTGCCGCCCGTAGCCGTGGCGGCCGAGGTGGCCCATCGAGAGGAAGTGCCAGAGGCGGTCGTGGTGGTTTTACACGGGGCGGTGGATCTGGAGGTCGTGGTGGTTTTGGTGGAGGTCGTGGTGGCTTTGGTGGAGGTCGGGGTGGTGCGCGGGGAGGTTTCCCCAGTCGTGGGCGTGGTGGCCGTTAAGCGATTGATGTGGGGAGTAATTCGAAGGATAAGGTTGGATAATATCGGTGTTAAGTGATATTAAGATCTTGCTGAACATTAACAAAAAGTTTGGTTCCTATTTTGCGGCTTGTATAGGTTTTGTATCATAGCCATAATTAGAAAAAGAATAAAATTTAGGGCTTGGGATCATCGTAGTATCTACTTTTAACATAAACGTATAAGAAGCTTCCACTTCCAATCGATACGCAGCAAAGTAATTGCGTACGGCGCAATATCAACGTAACACAACTAAGACCTAATAGCCATGTAAGAAAAAGCAAGTAACACACCTAGCGCCATTGATATGGAAATAACCTTGAACTCCAGAAGCCAATTCAATAAACCGAAACTTGAATTAAATCAAATATGAATATAAACCCCATGGAAACGAAAATCTGCCTTTGATTATCTGATGCCACCAATCGTCAATCAGTCATATACTTGGCATTCAGTAATAAATAGTCAAGACTTATTAGTGCCGAACTGCTCGCTGACCAATCTGTCTAGAGACTCTCGCAGTTTCCTTCTCGTAATGCATTTGCGAACTTCGTTTCTCCAGCAAAACGAAGATTCCTTGTCTATCCTTTCTGTATCTCCTGGATTTGCGAACGCAAGCATAATATCAGATATATCTTCTATATGTGCCGACACTGCTTGCTGTTTCTTCTGCGGAGACGTTACTGAAAGAAGTGCTGCAGTACCAAATAGAGCAGGATTTGGCGTCTCCAGAATAGCTGTCGCTGAGTACGACTTAACAACAACGGTAGGTTGGTAATGGCCCAAGTCACTGTCTGCATCCACTATGTCATCATCTTCTAAAGATTCGTCTTTCAATGCATGCCAGGATGCTCGACGGCATTGCGTAGAGCGATCTGTTACGACGACTGGATCTCGGTCGATAAGCGAATGGTAAACATGCACTGAGGACTGAGTACATGGTTGCTCAATCTCGATGACATCATTGCCTAGATAAAACTTTGGACGCGATACTTCGCATGCGCCATGGAGGACTGATGTCGGTTGGTAAGGATCAGAAGACATGACGAATCGTGAAAGTCGCCGCTGCTAGTAAGGACAAGTCAATAGTAAGATCTATGTAGTGATATGTCCTGTAGATGCCGGTGATCAAGTATGCAGTACTAATAAACAATAGCCAATTCAAGATGACGAGTGACGATCAGAAAGACGAGATAAAAGGATTAATATGGTACCAAGAAACCTGAATGACATGACTAGCAAGAACAAGTATTGGACATATTCTCAACCTGCAAGCTGGGTATCACCTAGATCAAATAATAAGAGGCGCAGGAGCTGGCTTCTAGGCAGCCGTGGTGTTCGTGTAACTGACTGAGTCCGCATCATGGGATCGACGGCCTAGGAAGCGTTGCTTCCCCGCGTTTTTCCCCACAACGCCGGCCGACTGGGGACACTTGAATCTCATTGGCCACGAGACACGCGCTTGTCACGCTATTTACAAAGCACGGCTAAATAGCAATAGCTGGTGTTACTTTATGATTGCAAGTCAATTACTACCTTTTTTTACGATCGTCTGGCACAAAACAAGATGACAAAAAAGAACATTAACTCACGAATTAACAGGCAATAACTCTAACGCAAACCAAGACAGACCACGCCCCTTACCAAGGGCATTACATTTATTACTTTATCCCAGCACAACCCCAAGAAGTCTGCAAAGCGCAAGCTTGGACTAAGAAGAATGGAGAGTTGGAAATTCGATTGTCTTTGTGTAACGCGGTGATCGTGATGAACTACACTCTCATATAGTAACCCTAACCTGTCTCAGGGTAGTTTACTCCGATTTTGTGATTATTAGTGTGTAATGGGAGTGTGGCCGAGTGGTCCAAGGCGCCCGCTTCAGGTTTACCAACTATAGTTGGACTTGAATTGCTGGTCTCGAAAGAGGCGTGAGTTCGAACCTCACCGCTCTCAATATTCTATATTTTTTTTTTAACGATTGATTTTGATTTGTTCTTTCAAACAGTGGATGTCAAATAAAATAATTATTATTGTTGTCCTGATATGACTACGCTCGGTTAAAGTAAAAGTTCAGTTGAGATGGCAGCGAATAGCAGACCTAACGCGGAATAGCCTCCAGACAGTGCAATCGAGCGGAACTTGCATGACATAGATTGTCAATCCAATGATAATATGACAAACGTGATGAAAAAAATAAGATCTCGCGTGATGGCTGCCTAGTATCCAGCAACCGCCATCTCATCCGCGACGCGGATGGGCTGTGATGGCGGCAAGTGATAATAGAACGACGCTTAAGTTTAGTTTCCGACATTCATTATTGTAAAGATACGGTCATTATTGTAAAAATAGTGAAGTCTTTGACGCGAAGTCAAACTTGGGTAGACAATGTATTCAAAGACTCCAAGTCTCCAATAGTCGTATTTTTCGAATGCCTTTTTTTTTTTTTTACCTATGTCACAAGCAACCAATTTAGATGCTAGACCCCTTTTGCTGGACTCCCGTTGCGGTTTGCCAAAGACAACAATTTATTGTCCTGTAGAACGTCATGCCGCCTGGGCTAATCAATCGGCGGACACCATATGTACTCCACAGTGTCCTAGATATGGATTGTATCATACGAAACGTAGATCGAATATACAGATTATTGACGATTGATCTAGCAGTCATCAGTGGGGCAACTTTAGAAGCCAGCTATTACTGCTCTCCCATATATAATGCGGTCAATGAAATAAATTGTTATTAAAATTATCCGAATAAACGAACGAAAACTCCATTATTCTCAACTTAAAACCTAAAAATGTTATACCATCCTTTCATCATCAAATAATATACCTCACTCCTGAATATACCGAAACAACGTAAAATAATCTAAAAAATATCGCGCGCTCGATCTCATTAACGTTCGTCAATGCCCAAGAAGTGTTACTAATTGAATATAGATTTTATTAGATCCTTGTCACGAATTGCAAAAAAAGTTCTTTAATTCACGCCCAGTATCATCCCCAGCGCAGTAGGCAGTCAAATATGCATCTAGTTCCGGTTGTTCTGCGCAGCATTCAAGATTCTGAGGATGTACAAGAACAAGTTGATGAAGTCAAGATACAAAGTGACGCTGGCGGCGATTTCCTCTTCAGGATGAAAGTGCTTCATGATCAACTGAGTATCGATAAGGACATAGCCGGAAAAAACAAGAGCGCCTAGACCACCGAACAAGAGCTCACTAGTGCTGTTGTACGGGAAAAATATGGCAATGAACCCGAAACCGATGAGAACCCAAAGGGCAGCGCCGAGGTAAGGCATCCAGCCGATAAAATCGTATTTAGTTTGCATCGCGAACACTGTCAGTCCGACAAAGACCAAGAGCGTGATCAAGAGCGCTTCCACCACTATCCGTGTATTGTAGAATGTCGTAATGGTTGCCACCGAATAACCTTCCAAAAGGGTGAATCCACCCAAAAAGAAAAGATTTACCGGATAACTCTTTCGTTTCCAGAACGTGAGCAACAAAAGAACGATAGATCCGATGAGCGACAGCCACATCATCGAAGGGTGGGTGTCAACCCAATATCTGATGGCCCGGTTAAACATGAAAAGGACGGACAGGCCTCCGGTAGAGAGGAGCTGCAAGGTGAGGATTGTGTAAACCTTTCGAACAAAAGCATTGCGTATAGAAATAGAGCAAGCAGCTACTGAAGTTGAATACTTGAAATCATCTGGAAGATCGCTGTCGGGAGCACCGCGAGCAGCGTCTGCCCGGGATGGCGACCCATGGGGTTCAAGGAGAGGAGCACTTGGAGATCCCCTGCTTGGAACATCAGTGGTATGATAGGAAGGCGGAGCTGTAGTGTACGAAGGAACTGGATCGGATGCAGCCATTGTAAATGCGAGTTGATTGTGGTGTTGGTGCGACGATTGTGCAAGATCAATGAACGTACGCTACGATGACTTAGGAATCGGCGATGACGAGGCCACAGGCGACGTTCAGTCTAACGTGACGAACTTGGGCGAATGGGTCAGCGTTTGTCAAACTCTAATTCTGTGACCTTCGAAAATGCGTGGGGAAATATCGCCAGATCAACTATCAAGAAAATGCTATTATATTTCCATTTGAAAGAAGAATGTATTGCGATTACACTATAGTGACGCGTATCAATAACAGAAAATCATCTGTGCCAAATATTTTGTATGGTATAGCCTTCTTGTCATGCTTTGCTCCCATCGCGGTCATAGGTGCTGCTCTTGCGACATCTACGACAGTCAGGAACGTTCCTGTTGGCCAGTTGCGGCTTAGCACAAGTTGCACCAGTCATGGCGCCGTGTATCACTTATTTATTGTGACTTCCCGTAGGGAACTTGTCGCGACCAGACCCGCAGATTCGTAAATTTTTGTGCTTACATAATGGACTGATTTTTGACCAGATTTGGAATTGACGACCAGATTCACAAATCTGAGAATCTGGGTTTTTGACATTTGAGTTGCTGCGGGAAACACCAAATTTACGAATTTATGATTCTGTGATTCTAATTTGCGAGTTTGGGAATTTGAGCGCTACGGGAAGTCACCCAATTAATTCAAAAGGAGACCACGTCGTTATTCCGGTCCATCCATTCTGCATCTAGCCAGTCGTAATGTCAATGTGTGGGCCAGTTATCCTGCTTGAATCATGTCGTAAAAATGCCCTGTAGTATTGAGCAGCGACTTAAGAGTTTACTGGAATTTATGAACTACAGATCTTAGTGTACTCTCAATTATCCATACAACGAAACTCGATTCCAGGGTATCTTCACAACTCGTGTGATCGTTCGCGACGGTTTAGGGTTACTTCTGTTGTGTTCCTCGCACGTGTGCCGTTTGGCGCCTGAATTTTTCATGAAATCGCTTGCCCTAAGTGACAAACTGGCTTGTGACTGCTTTTGCGAAACAGCCCTAACATCCTCACGGCACACCACAGACGATGAGAGTCTCCCCCGAAATTAGTGAATGGCAGAAATCGGTAACCGGGTGTCGCCTTCTGATCCATAAGTTCTGTGTCCACCAACATCACGACATTAATATCTATAATCATGCCTGGTGTTTCCGTTAGGTATGTTATTGTTCCAATGACTTATTTTGTTATTTGGTGGACTCTCACATGACTAATGCTGGATTATAGAGACGTTCCCGCCCAGGAGTTCATTGTCGCCTACGCCCAGTTTCTCCAGCGTCAGGGTATGCAGTTTACGAGATTCAGCATAGAAGCAGTACATTTCGGAATGGTTGAATTCTAATGGATTGGAAAATAGGCAAGCTGGAGGTCCCTGGTTATGTTGAGTTGGTCAAGACTAGTTCTGGCAATGAGTATGGAGCCCTATGTTTAGACAAAAATAGGATAGTTGGGATCTAACTCGGTATTTAATAGGCTTCCTCCTCAGGACTCTGACAAGTGGTTCTACATGGTATGTTGTGAGAGAAGGCAATATTATCGCGTATCATGAGGCTAATAGTCCGACAGCGCGCCGCTTCCGTTGCCCGACACATCTACCTCCGCAAGTCCGTTGGTACTGGCAAATTGAACAAGTTGTATGGCGGCACTATCAATCGCGGCTCTAGGTCAGTAACTAGATGAGCATGGATACTGGTTTGTTCCAGGGGGTGCTGACAAGTTTATAGACCTTCGCACCACCGTGACGCCTCAGGCTCCATCAACAGAAAGGTTCTTCAGGCCTTGGGAAAGATCGGTGTTTTGGAGGAAGGAAAGAATGGCCGGAAAATCTCCGAGACCGGTCAGCGAGATTTGGATCGAATTGCTGGTGAGGTTTTCGCAGGTGGCCAGGACGACGAATAAATATAGTATGATGCATAGGCGCTGTGTGTATTATAAGCGGAAAAGTCATCGTTTTATGTTTATGGAATAATAAAAATTTGAAAATAAGTGTTAAATTAGTTTTAATATTCGACAAAATCATAGAGTTGTGGAGCTATGGATGCGTATTATGTTCCAAGCTCTTACCCTCAGCATTTGTGGTAGAGGCTGTTAACCGATGTCTTTCCATTGCAGTATTGAGAATCTACTTAAATGAACCCCAACGCAAGGACCTATAACTGTATATTGCACCCAAATATAGACAAAGCACTGTGCTTCTAGCTCAAGCCCATAACCATTTATGACTCCCATTAAATAAAAGCTACCTGATATGACAGAAATGAAAAAAAAAAATACAGAAAACATTAACCACGTCCCTAAGTGCAATTTTTTACTTTTTTGACTAACCACTTCTTCAGTTATACAATCTCTTTTCATAAGAATACAAGCCATGAACACCACCCTCAACCTGCGCCGACGCCGTTCTCAATTCAAATCTCACATCGCCGTTGTCAACATTCTGATGTAGCTCAGTCAAGCTGTGCATTCCAATATCCTGAAGACCATGCTGAAGACCAGCAATCAAGTACGGGACGAACTTGGTGATGGAACCTCTGTCGATGACACTACCACTGACACCCTGAGCAACAAGGACCTTGTCACCTTCGGAGAAGTAACGAGCGGTGGCAGCATTGTCGTTGGTGGACTGCTTCTCCATAGCATCCAGCGAGCCCATACCTCTGTACGCCTTCAATCGCTGACCATCTCTGTAGAAATACTGACCAGGAGACTCGCTGGTACCGGCCAACAGGCCACCCATCATGACAGCGGAAGCACCGAGGGCAAGAGCCTTGGTCATGTGGCCGACGTTCTGGATACCACCATCGGCGATAGTCGGGACACCGAATCGAGCAGCGAACTCAGAGACAGCGCGGACCGCAGTACCTTGTGGACGACCGACGGCCATAACCTCCTGAGTAATGCAGATACTGCCGCTGCCCATACCGATTCTGAGACCATCGGCACCAGCAGCGATCAAGCTTGCAGCCTGCTCGCGTGTGACTACATTGCCGGCAATGACCTCGAGGCAAGGAAACTCCTCCTTGATCC